ACGATTGAAAGATAAGACATGGTTAAAACATATACTTGAATGTACATTGTACGGAACAATAATATAATGATCACAACTAGGCGATCCCAAACGCGCGACTGTACTACTACTTAGTTCGAAAATAAAACGCTAAAAATTATTTTGCCTTTAATCGAAGGATGATTATCAAAATTCATACAGATAAAAATCCTAGCAAATTCGATTAGTAGTTCTATTGATCCCGACAGAGGATTACTCTTGTGTAGAAAAAAACTCTCAACCCCCTATACAACACACATTCATAAATTTCGCTTTTAGATATCCTCAATTTAATCTTGGGTGTACCCAAAAGTTGATTTTGACTTGATTAAAGCATAGGTTACAGTGTATATATAAATTGTTTCCCAATTTAGGTATACCTAAGTTATATTTGGGCATACCTAAAACAAATTGGTTCAATTATTTTTTTTACAAAATACAAAAGTATAAAGTTATTTCGGATAATTACATCTGTCTTTAGCACTCTCGAGTTCAAGTCTTGCTTTAAGCATTTATAGTTTTCAAATCTAATACTAGAGGTGATCAACATTGGCCCGGCCCGAAAATAGGGCGGGTTTGAGTAAGCATAAAAACTCATTTATAGTTAAAAGCCCGAACCCGGCCCGGAAAATCCTGAAAAGCCCGTTTTGGCCCGACAAGCCCACTACTTTTTACGGGTTTGGGCACGAGATATTGTGTTAAGGCCCGGCCCAACCCGATTTTTTATCACTTCTATCTAATGCATGTTGTGGAGGTAACATGACATCCTAGTATTTAAAGGTGTGACATGTGGCACATATTGATGTCATGTCATGTTTGTTGTTCTTAAAAAATTGACACATGACATATATTTTTTTTTAGCTTGGAACAATTTTTAATACGTAACTAGTGTGTGGCCCGGGCGATCCCCGGATTGCTAGTTTGTACATGTTTAATTTGCTAATCAAATTCGAGTATTTAGATAGTAAGATTTGTTGGTTTCGAGTTTAAGTCTTGTTGTAAACATTTTTTAGTTGTCAAACTCAATGACATAATGGAAACAAATAGTATAATAAGACACAAATTAACTTATCTAAGTTAACTATAATTTTGTTGAAAAAAAACACAATTAATAAATGGCTAAGATGGTAAGACTCTTAACTTAAGATTTGTGTGTCTTGGGTTCAGTTTTGTTATAAGCATTTTTTAGATGCAAATCTAATACATGTGAAAGTGACATGTCATGTTTATAATGACATGTGGCGCATATCGCTGACATGCCCAACTTGTAAAAGGTGACACGTGGAACATATTCTGTTTTAGGAACGCTTTTTAATATATAAAATAAAGTATAGATAAAGTATAGATTAAAATAAATATATTATATATATATAATGTTAAAGTCTTTTTTCAAGTCTTTATACATTCCGTAACTTGGAAATTTAAGTAAGAAAATGAAGTATTTATTTCCTTTCCACCATAATTAAATAAAGTTGAACTATTTAATACTCCCTCCGTTTTTAAATATTTATTCCACTTTCATTTTTTGGCCGTTTTTAAATACTTGCTCCATTTCCTTATTTGGAAAGATTTTACAATATTTAATTCATTTCTCTCACCTAATGGACCCAACAAATATCATATTTTATTAATTTCATATTATTCTATCTCCTCCAATTTCTCCACTATTTTTGTTTTATATATTTTTTAATTCTTCCACTAACCTCACTACCTCCAAATTTTATTACTTTCTCCAATTTCTCCTAAACTCCGCGCATGGAGAAATGGAGCAAGTATTTAAAAACGGAGGGAGTACACATTACATAAACATATGAAGTATCATCTTTTAGCCTGGGGTTACTTACGAAAAGGTTACTTAGGGCCTGTTCACATTTATAGAACAGAGCTGGACTGAACTGAACTGATTGGAGCTGAACTGAACTAAACTGAACTGATTGGAGCTGAACTGAATTGAACTGAACTCTGAGCTGAATTGAACTGAACTGAACTGAATTTTTGAATGTTATTACAATAAAATTAGCTTAATAAGGTAGTCTCAATTAAGTATAATAGAATCCCAATAAATAATATTTGAAAGTTATTACAATCAAATTAGGTAATTTCAATTAAGGAATTAAGCAAATTTGGATTAAAAAAGTGGATATTTTCTTTATCACAAAAGGAATTAAGCAAAATTTGTAAGATAAAAAAAAAAAAACATTTGAAAATAGAAAGTTACCCATAGGCAAAATTGGTAAGATAAAAAAAACATAGGAAACTATCAAAAGTTACCCACATAAGTGTGTTTCAAAAAAAAAAAAAAAAAATACACACAAGCTATCAAAAGTTACTCATAGTGCTACAAAAGTTGCCCATTATTCTTTCCTATTTCTTTATGGCCAATTGATTTTTTCTTATTTGAGATTTTTTTTTTATTATTTTTTTTACAACTACTTAAGATAGTTAAGGATAGATATTGTTTAAAATATCAATTCAAGGAAATTGCTATGTATGTTTTATTTGTCACAAAAAAAATCATATGTTTCAATGAAATTTATATCTTTTTTAACAACTGTAATTAATAATCTCTTAAAATCTTAAATGTATCTAGAAAAAATAATAACAAAACGTATATAGAATTCCAAATTAATTATAAAATCATTACTTTTATATGTTTGTAAAACCTGAGGGATTGATGTAAGTTCATGATGATTTCAAGTAAAGTTAATCAAACAAAGATTAAGTTTGTACATCAATTTTGATATATATATATATGATATTGGAATGAAGATTAAGTTTATGGTGATTTAAAGAATGACGTCGTTAACGAAAGTTGAGTTTTAGTTATTGATTTTTGTGTTGTTCTATTTTTTGTTCATTCGGTATCATTTATTTGATTTTTTTTACATACTTACATTAGATTTTATCATTAATTTTTAACATAACTGAAACAATAAAATATAGAAAAATATTTTGTCACATATTCCCTCCCAAAGTAATGCCCTCTAGATCAAATAAAAAGGCAAAATTACATAGTAAAAGATGAGGGAATATTTTCCTTCAATATCGGAGTAACAAACACCAATTCAGCTTATAAACAAGCTAAGTTCATAAGATGTAATAGTAGGCATACTATAAGGAAACTAATTGTTTTTTTTTTTTATTGGAAACTAATTGTTATCCTTTGACTACAAGGCAAACACAATAAAATCTTTACTCTATATTTAACACGCAAGTCTTTAGGTTTTTTTTTTTTTTTAATTATTATTATTTTTTCATCATAAACCAACTCCCAAGCCCCTCAAAAAAAAAAAAAAAAACCTCCCAAGTTCATCAATGGTATTGTAGCTTCAACATTCAACTATGGCCTATTACTGAAAAATCATACAAATAATAAAATTAAACACGAAATCATAAGATAATACATGATTTTCTTAACTAAATTATGTATACATATAAGTAAATTGATTTTAATCTCATTAGTTAATTTAAGTTGATGCATAAATATGATGATTATACATTAATAATATTGATCTCATATATACTTCGGTAATATTTAAGGATGAGATTTGAACAAAAAAATAAAGGTTGAAGGTTGAAGATGCGTGGAGTGCACCATCAAAGAATATTGAAACTACCAATATGAGTATGAAGCTATCAAAATGATTTTGAAATAAATCATATGAGAATTCTTCAATTGATCGTTAAAATTAAGATAAATACTAAAATATAAGTATATATTAAAAAATTTATATCTTGAAAAAAAAAAATTACCCTCTAAAAGTAATAAACCAAACAACTCTTTGTTGATTGGACACTGACTGGGCGCTGACTTGTCATGATTTAAATGATGTGTAACTTTGATTTTTAAAAAGTTTTAATTTTTTTTTTCAAATGCTAAGATTAAGCACCAAAAATTATCAACGGTTGATATTTAGTCTGTTATCGTAGTTAACCATAGTCGTCCGTAGTTGACAACTACACTAGAATCATCCAATATGAGTAATGTAACTTCCCATATGAAAATAAATAAATAAATAAAAATTAAACCAACAAACCACCCATAGAAATTGTTGAAGTTGGATGCAAAACTATATTATAGTATAAAGTATAAATTATAGTTACTTTATTAAACCCATCTCTCCAAATGTCTCACATTAACGTTTGTGTGAGGTGGTCTAAAAGGCTCTTACTTTCTTTGTAATGGTGACGGTTGAATGTCATTTTAAGAAATGATTTGAAATACCATAATCATTTTTTTTTTTTGGTAAATTTTACATCTTTATCACGTCACAATTTAGTCTTTGTTTAATGCAATCATTAAGGGTGATACAAACAAGTTGTAATTTTTAGAAAACGAATTTTACACTTTTGATTAATCTTTTTCATTAAAAACTTGTTCATGTGAAAATATAGTCACTCACTTGACCGTTTACGTGGTTGTTGAAGGCTTGAAGCTATGGCTTCATAAAACATTATACTCGTACATTGTATGTTTATAAAAAGAAATCACATGTTAAAGTAAGGGGTTTTATGTACATGAGTATTGCATACTAATAAAACAAGAGACAGTTTATAGAGCTATGCGTACACTAATGAGTTATCCTTTTTTACATATACTAGTTAAATTATTACCGTACAATATTAAGGTGGAACTTACTTGAGCTTGTAAAACTTGCGAACTCCTCTAACTCCTCACATATACACTACTACAAAATTAGGCAAAGAGACCCGTCAAAACATGTCTTAGAGACCACCTTCTGACGAGTCTCTATCTCAGGAGTCTGTTTGATAAACAGACCACCTCATGAGGAGGGGTCTGTTTTTAAGGAAGAAGAGACCCGTTATCAAAGATAGGGGGTCTGTTATATTACTATGTAAGACTGTAAGAGATCCATTATTAGAGAAATGGGGTCTCTTAGCCCATTAATTTTATTAAAAAAAATATAGCTCAACGTAACCAATTAATTTTTATTTATTTTTAATAACAACAAAACCCAATATCAAAATGAATAAATATGAATTCATAATTATAATAAACACAATCCATCAAAACTAAATTACAATTTTCATTTTAGTCGACATTGGTACAACAAAGATTATACATTATACAAAGTATAAGGTACAAGAGTGTAAGTGAAGCAAATTTAAGATCATCAAATCAATTTAAAAAATAGTAATCAATAGGAAAAAATGCCTCAAACTCTTAGATAAGTTAAAAGTTGCGGTAGCTCCATGGTGAAAAGGAAAGCGCTCCAAATAATACAAGCTGCAATACATAGTTTCGAGCTCCAAATCTCCAATTGTTAACTATTCCAAGATCACTCATTTCCTCGGCGACGGAATTACCAATGAGATATCCATAGGCTCCAATTGACACTTCGCAAATGACAATAATAAAAAAAAAAAAAAAATCAATTCAGAATTTTACCAATTACCATAAAATTGAACAATCACCAAACAAAATTTCTGGTATATGTAAATCTAAAATAAGGATACACAACCGCATAGTGATTCCCATTAGATCTTCAATTGAGAAAAACTAAAACTTTTTTTTAAAAAAAAAGTAATTGTGTGAATGCAAAAGAAATTAAGTAAAAGAAATAGTAGAAATTAGTAGTAGATGAAGTTAGAGATCTGATGAGTACCTTTCTTGGAAAGGAATAAACCATCAAAGAAAAACATTATTACCTATTTTTTTCAGAGAGTAGAGATACAGAGTCATTTTTAATAATGATACAAATATAAGTTTCCCACAAACCATAAATTAACAGTAAGGAGGAAGAACGATTACATTTTTTTTTTTTTCTGAAAGTAGAAGAGCTGATGAGTACCTTAGATCTGATGAGTAACTTCCATTGAATATTTGCAAAACATCAATGGAGGAAAGAAGAGGAAAAGACGGCGAATTTGATTTTGATTTTAGGGCTAAGGTTAGGGTTTTGAGGAGAGAGAACCGTATGTAAGTTGGGAGGATAAAATAATTAAAAAGAAAATGAAATGAAAAGAGAAGACAAACCATCACTGTCATATGTGGACCTCTAATAGTCTAATACACGTAAGAGACCTGTTAGGTTTGACAACGGGCCTGTGCATTCTTCTTCTTTTTTCTGCTAATTAATTTGTGGGCCCTAAAATTTGTAAGAGGCCCGTTACGTTTTAGAACGGGTCTCTTATCACGTGCAAATAAACATTACAGACCAGTTATAATTAATATATGATCTCAAAATCAAACAAATCCGTTATGTAAATAATGGGTCTTTTATTAGGGGTCTTTTTGCAAATTTTGTAGTAGTGATAGTAGGTGCGACCAAGTCTAAGTACGTTTTAGCAACAACCAATAGCGAGCTAATTTGGATTGATCCCTAATTAATAAACAGGATGAGGTAATTGACTTGATTGCCTCGTATGTCATATAGTTAGTTGGATGAGAGAAAACGATGGCACGGTGCCTATAATTTCAAGATGCAATTAGTAGTCCCAGGTTTGTAGATTTCTTCCAGGTTATTATTATTTCTTACGTAATAAACAAGGTTTTAGATGAGTACTAGAAAGTCGGAGCAAGGAAAGAAATAAAAGTGCTGATTTTACATCTAGTATGTGTAATAATAATTGAAACTAATTGAAACTTGAAAGTACTTGTATAATGCATATGTTAAGGTTTTCTTTTCGGCTTTCACCAAAAGATTACAATAGGGAGTCCGTTCGGTTTTCATGTTTTCAATCCAATCCGATCCGAATTACTCTTTTTATACAATCCAATCCAATCCAAATTAAAATTTGGTTATTTGGATCCGATTCAATAATCCTAATTAAAGTACATTACTTTTTAGCATCTAGTTGACTCATGATAATAAAAATAAAATAAAATATGCAATACAAAAATAACATGTGTCCAAGCTTTAATATTAATACAATTCTTGAAAATAGTCATGACTAAAATTATTTGTTACATCAAATCAATATTAATCAACACTAGTACAACTACTAGGCAAACCATTTACAACAAAAACACCATGTACCAAATATCCGCAAAAACTTAAAGAGTTAAGACAGCAAGCAATTCATATCTGGGTCATATTCATACATGCTTAATTTGACAATTTGATTTTCAGTTTGGTTTTGGATCCGATTAGGGCCAATCCAATTTGAAAATCAGAAATTTCAAAAAATCTCAATCTGATCCAATTTAAAATTCAGATCCAATCCGAATTGATTATTTGGTTTGGATTAGATTGGATTGGATTTCGGTTTTAATCCGAATTATGGACACCTATAATTCTTAGGCAAAAAGGAGAAAAAAAAAGTACTCCCCTTTTTTTAAATATTTGCTCCATTTCTCCATGCGCGGAGTTTTAGGAGAAATTGAAGAAAGTAATAAAATATAGAGGTAGTGGGGTAGGTGGAAGAATATAAAATTGTAAAAAGCAAAAGTAGTGGAGAGAATTGGAGGAGACAAAATAAGAAATCAATAACTATATACTAAAAGACACATCTGCAATAACACGAGTCATCTTCTGGTGTGTCCTTAGTATATTTTTTTAAAAAAAACTTTTAAAAAAATTCATAGAGAATATATGCAAATATTTTCTTCCAAAAATTAATAGAAATAATTATAAAATAATATATTTAGCAACTTAGATATCTAACCATATCTTTATACAAATTCCTTAATAAACAATTACTTTTAAATGTATGATTATTTATAGTAAAAATCATGAACATGTATCGTTCAAGCTAACATTTAATTAGTAATGAAAAATTATCAAACATAGAATAAAAAATAATATGCCATTAGGGTTCAAAATATAAGAAAGCTTGAATACAAAAATACAATATGCAATCAAAAAGGATAAAAAAAAATAATATTTTAAGTTGCTTGATTTGGAATAAAATAAGAAATTTATTTTGGACCAAATTATTTATTATATATTTAAATATAATTTTAAATTAATACACCGTAATAAAGAGTAAAAAAAACCGTGCATGGCACGGGATCTAACCTAGTTAATAAAATACTATTCATGTTAAAAATGAATTAAATATTGTAAAAGTTTTCCAAATAAGAAAATGGAGCAAATATTTAAAAAGGCCAAAAAAAAAAAGTGAAGTAAGCATTTAAAAATGGAGAGAGTAATACTCTATATTCAGTAAAAATAAGGATTAATAAATACTGTATGGCATATGTACTAGCTTTTATACTGGCGAATCTGTAAGAAACAAAAAAAATACAAGTTTGAATTAGTAAAAATGATTGATGTTCATTTGATGTTATTGTCATCTAATGTATTAAACCTAAACTACTTGTCAGAAAGCACCTTTTATTCAGTTAATTTTGTAATGAGAAATTATCATTTAAAAAAAACGACCCTTAAAATCTTAATTTGCCAGTTTGTCAATTCCAACTACTATCTCATTTTCATATTTTTTGCAACATCTCACAAATAATACTCTAAAGTTGCAAAAAAAAATATAAAACAAAGGTAGTATATGATTATATGCAGTCAGTTTTTAGTGATAACGTGCAGTGAAAAACTAAAGTAATATCAAGAGGAATATATTATAACATACGTAGTACTCCCTCCGTCCTTATATTATATTCCTACTTCTAGCATTCCTCATATAATAGAGAGAAGTAGGAACGTAATTTAGGGATGGAAGGACTAGTTCTTTGTATACGAAGTACTCCTATAAAATAAGCTAAGCCCGCTAGGTTGCTAACTTGCTAAGTATTTCTATGGAAAATATCCCTCAAACACAATATTTTACAATGTCTGAATAATTAAATTATCTATTTTTAAAGTGGTTTGAGTTATTATTTATGTATGATTCATTAGATACAAATTAAAGATCAGGTAATATAATAAATATGGTACTTCGTAAGAAATAGTCAAATTATATTAGGAAAATTGTAATCTAATAATCCCACCTTTAGTCGGTCTTCCATAAACAATCCCACCTTTTGAAATTCCAGAAACAATCCCACTTTTGAGCCTCATCTTCCACTAACGATCCCATTGACCTACAACTTGTTAAGCAGGTTATTTTATTTATTTATTTATTTATTTTAACTATACTCCTTTTCAAGCCACTAGTCCAACCACCACCCAACACTCACTCCTTACCGCCACCCCCACAACCAAGCCACCACGAAACTCACCAACCACGCCGGAAAATCCAATAACCACCCCCGAAACCCAACCCCCACCACGAAAAATCCACCCACTGCCACAAAATCCCCACACCAGCCCCCTAAAAGGCTGAAACTCAATCCTCAGCCACGAAATACTCCACCCCAGCCACGAAATAGTCTACTCCGGCCCTGAAAAACGTCACCCATCGTCTCCAATTCAATTTTTGGTTTGAAATTAAATGCAAATTATTATTTCAATCATCTAAAAAATCGAATTGAAAGGGAATGAATTGATGAATTCAGAGGAGAGTGAAACATACCAAAGAGAAGAGAGAAAGAGAAGGAGAAGGAGAAAGAGGGGTTCTGGGCTGCGGATTGGGTTGGGTTTTTGGGGAAGCTAGGCGGCTGCAAGTGCTGATTTCGGGCTTCAGGGGTTGGGTTCCGGCGCCTTGAAAGGGTAGGTTGGGTTGCCGGGAAAAGCAAGGGCGGGGATGGGGAGGGGATGCGGTGGCAGGATGGGGAAGGGATACGGTGGCTAGGCTGGGGGTTTTGGTTTTGTTTTTTTTTATTATTATTATTTTTTTTTTTATTAGTTTGTTTTTTATTTAAAAAAAAAGAAGTTAAACCTATTAAAACCTGACACGTGTCTTATAACCTATGAAAACCGGTTATCAAAACAATACAACCGGTAAAGGATTGTTAATGGAAGATGGGGGTTTAAGGTGGGATTGTTTCTGGAATTTCAAAAGGTGGGACTGTTTATGGAAGACCGACTAAAGGTGGGATTATTAGTTTACATTTTCCCATTATATTAAACTCTAACTATACTTAATTACTCCGTATAAGGTTTTGAATTAATACTCGTATGTATTTGGACAAAAAGATAACACGAGTATAATTTTTGTTTACAGAAAATATATATTTGGGGTCGTTCAAATAACTACTACCTCCGTTATAGGTTATGTGCAACGATTTGACATAAAACAGAGAGGAAAAAATCTAATCGTTACACATAACCTAACGGGGGTAGTACAAAAAATCATGAAAAAGTTTGTTTATTACTCCCTCCATTTTTAAATATTTGCTCCACTTTCCTTTTTCGGCCGTTTTTAAATACTTGCTCTATTTCTTTTTATGGAAAGCTTTTACAATATTTAATTCATTTCTCACACTTAGTGGATCCAATATAATAATCTCTCTCCTCCTATTCTTCTACTACTTTTCCTTTTTACATTTTTTTATTTTCTCAAATACCCCACTACCTCCATATTTTATTACTTTCTACAATTTCTCCTAAAACTCCGCGCATGGAGAAATGGAGCAAGTATTTAAAAACGGAGAGAAGTACCACGGAGTACTTATTTTGGAAACTTTCGAAAATAAAAGTCAGATAAAGCGACTGCAGAGCTTTTTTGGTGCAGCAGGCACGGTGTGGCCTGCTGTCAAGTCAGTAAAAATAACGGATTTTGACGCGCGCATAACGGTGTTACTGTTCACACGCATAACGGGGTTACTGGTTTTGTCAGGGTTACTTGTATTTTTTTTTTCCAGGAGTTACTTGTATTTTTTTTCAGGAGTTACTTGTAATTTTTTTTCAGGAGTTACTTGTATTTTTTTTTTTCAGGAGTTACTTGTATTTTTTTTTTCAGGGGTTAATTGTATGGATTAGTTATTCAAGGGTTACTTGTATTTTCAGGGGTTACTTGTATATTATTTTTTTCAAGAGTTATATTTTTTTTTCAAGGGTACTTTTTTTTTATAATTTTTTTAGGGGTTACTTTTATGGGTTAATTCAAGGGTTACTTGTATGAGTTACTTATTCAAGGGTTACTTATATGAGTTACTTCAAAGGTTA